GAGCGAGCTATAAAGGCACAGTCCTATTCTGGAAAAGGGGCGGGGAGCAGCAGCTCATTTGCATTTAAAGAGACATGCACAAAAACAGTGCATTTCTGCTTCCACTCAAAACAGACATTTTCAAAATGATATAATAAATGATCTGTGGGGTATTTTGAGCTGAAACTTCACAGACACATTCTGGGGACACCTGAGACTTATATTACATCTTGTAAAAAGGGGCATAATAGGTCTCCTTTAATTTTAAATAAGTTATATTAAAATAATCGAACGTACTTTAGATGCTAAAAAAACATTATAATATAATATAATTAGTGCTGTCAAATGATTAATCGCGATTAATCACATACAAAATAAAAGTTTTTGTTTGCATAACATATGTGTGTGTTCTGTGTATATTTATGTATATATAAATACACACACATACAGTATATACTGAAAATATTTACATGTCTATATTTATATTCATATAATTTATATTATAAATAAATATACTTAATATATAAACATTACCTATTTTTCTGAAATATATACATGCATGTGTATTTATATATACATAATAAATATACACAGCACACATACATATATTATGTAGACAAAAACTTTTATTTTGGATGTGATTAATCGCGATTAATCATTTGACAGCACTAAATATAATATAATAATGTCATTATGTTTTTGTCTGTTTGTTTTGTGTAGGTGTCTGGACTGTCAAAATGGCTGGGTGAAAGTCTGGCCCCACTGAAGAGCATCCCACCCTTCGCCATCTCTCTGATACTGTGTCTCCTGGTGGGAACATTCACAGAGTGCTCCAGCAACACAGCCACCACCACACTGTTCTTGCCCATTCTGGCCTCTATGGTGAGTACACAGCATACAGAGCCTGAAGTAGCTTAACAATACCTACCACATATTCTATGTTGCCGCGCTTTTCAAAAATGTAACTTGAGTATGGAAGTGCTAATAATATGTCACATCTATTCGCAGGCCACAACCATCGGGCTCCATCCTCTCTACGTGATGCTGCCCTGCACCATCAGCGCATCGCTGGCTTTCATGCTTCCTGTAGCCACTCCACCCAACGCCATCGCTTTCTCCTATGGCAACCTCAAAGTCGTGGATATGGTATGGCTGAACACATTTTACATGAGTCTTTGATGTTCCAGTCAAAATACATTTTTGAGACACTGTTTATGGAAAAATGAGTGGATAATTGTATTTTCTTTTGGTTTGAAGGCAAAGGCAGGCTTCATTCTCAACATCATTGGCATTCTATCCATCAACCTTGGCATCAACACATGGGGAACGGCCATGTTCAATCTAGGAACCTTTCCCTCATGGGCCAACTCCACAAATGTCACAAGCACACCATGAACATCTTCACATATAATTCTTTGGTTTTGTGAGAATGCTGAAGGGAGAGAGAGGGGGGAAAAGAAACACACACACACACACACAATCATTTAATCAAAACACACACACACACACAATGAATAGTAAAACCTAAGTACCATTCACATTACAGTGCCTTGCCCATACAAAACATGGGACTGGAGGGAATTTGCTCATCATTGGGGTATGTTACAAAATAAACACTTTAATATCTATATTTGCTGATGTGAACGATGGCAGTGTGAAATCAGAATAGGATATGTATGCATTGGACGAGACCTTACGATACGACTCTCTAGATCTCAAACACAGGCATGGCGCATCGTCTGTGACACTGACTCAAGGAGGGTGTGGCTGCTGGACAAAGACATGTGATTGGTTCTTAGGTCTGTCAGTCAAACTCTCTGCCTCAGTCCCCTCCCACCTCTGTCCTAAGGGCCTCCGCTGTACGAATAATCTGCTTTGTTGTGCATGACCAGCTTGTTGTCCACAAAGTAGAAGCTGTCAGACTGCGTCTCGTAAGGTTGGAGGATCATCTCCCGTACTGAAATAAAGAGAAAACACATAAAGTGATACACAAACAACAATTAAGCTTTTTAAAAGCTACAGGATTTTCCTTTCATAGATGCTGGTAGGTCAATGACATGTTCGTTTCTTTCTGGGTCTATTACTACATTCAAAAATACATAAAAAATGCAATATATTAATTCAGTGCCTTCAATATATCTCTTTCTCTTAATGTATTTTTGTATATATTAATAGACCATTATATGAGGAACTTGCTTTGAATATCTTGCATGTTTTGTGCTATATTCATTATTGGGTTAAAAAGGGGAAAATAAATAAATAAAGATGCTTCCTGTAGCCACTCCACCCAACGCCATCGCTTTCTCCTATGGCAACCTCAAAGTCGTGGATATGGTATGGCTGAACACATTTTACATGAGTCTTTGATGTTCCAGTCAAAATACATTTTTGAGACACTGTTTATGGAAAAATGAGTGGATAATTGTATTTTCTTTTGGTTTGAAGGCAAAGGCAGGCTTCATTCTCAACATCATTGGCATTCTATCCATCAACCTTGGCATCAACACATGGGGAACGGCCATGTTCAATCTAGGAACCTTTCCCTCATGGGCCAACTCCACAAATGTCACAAGCACACCATGAACATCTTCACATATAATTCTTTGGTTTTGTGAGAATGCTGAAGGGACAGAGAGGGGGGAAAAGAAGCTAATCCAAAAAATACCATCATCAAATGGACAAAAGAGTCACAGTATGCAGAGCATGTAGCGCCCGTCCCCTCATCAATGCCCTCTGGAGCAAAAGCTCAGCTTTTCTCAAACCTTTAGACAGCGTCTTTTCAAGCACTATGTAAGTGGCTGGTAAGAATTTACAGCCTCTGTATCACTTATTTACATCTTTAAAGTCACTCAAGTGTGAGGACTTTGTAAATGTGCGTTGGCTTCCATGTAGCACTTTTCCTACCCCAGTGCGGGTAAAAGGTTTTCTGGTCTTCCATTTGTGCTGGTTCACGAAAATTACATTAATTTATAGGGTCTGGACAAGACTTTTTATATTTTAGATCCCTTTTTGGATCACAGTCTATTTAATACATGGCTGAATCATAAAATCTGAATCTGTTAAGTAACACAGTTGAAGATTTTTAAATACCCCTACTTTGTAGAAGTAAATACTTGTAGGTAAAAGTCACAGCATTTCTCAGAATTTGTGCCTTTTCTCAAATAAAATTAGTTTTGTGAAGTCTTGTGGGAAATTTCATTTTACAGCACTTGCAGCAACATTGTTGGGAACTGATTTCAAGTAATCATTTCATAAAATGTCATTTATATTATTGAAGAAAATTGCTATTACAAGGTAAATATCAGGACCGTATGTGTATGTTTTACAGATATACAGTTTTAAATATATTTTTTAACTCTTACATTACTGATCAAAAGTTTAGGGTTTTTGAAAGAATATGATTAGCAAGGCTGCATTTATTTTATTAAAAATTGAATATTGTGAATGTTAAAATAACGGTTTTCTATTTTAGTATATTTATTATTTCTGTGATGGCAAAGCTGAATTTTCAGCAGTCGTTATTTCAGTCTTCAGTTTCACATGATCACAAGATTAATATACCAATTTGATGCATAATATATTACAAATATTGTAGTTGTGCTGTTTAATATTTTTGTGGAAACCATGATGCACTTTTTCAGGGGGGATTCTTTGAAGGATACAAATTCTAAAAGAACAGCATTTTTTTGGAAATAGTTTTTTTTTTTTATTATTAAAAAAACATTTCTTGTAAAATAAAAGTATTAATGTCTTCCTAAAAAAAAATACTGAACCCATTTTTTAACAGTAATGTAAATAATTGAAATCAATTTTGATAGTGCTAAGCACTAAATGAAAAATCTGAAATAAATGTTCCTAAGAAAATAAAGTGCTGTGGGAAAAAAAAAAGACAACTTCAATCATTTAAAAAAAAAATTCAACATATACATTTATTTCTCTTTTATTCCAAACTGGCGTTTGAACTGTTCTCCCCCCTCAAAACCATTTACAATAAATCACAATCAAAATAAAGCACATATTACATCTGACTAGAAACATTTTTCAAGTTATTCCTCCTTTTAAGCGCTTGTAGAAGTCTTTGAAAGTCTCCTTTTTATTCAGAAACCAAAAACAGGTAAATCATTCTCCTAAATGCACTTTTTGCACTATGAATACAAGGATCATAGATACAGCACATCCTTGGATAAGATGTTAAATCTAACCTCTGCTATGTGCACTAAACAGCCATGGCTTACTGGAATGTGTGAGAAAGGGAATGCTAGATGGAGAGATGAGAAGAGACGCCATCTCTTGATCTCTTTAACTACTGTTCTTTAGACAGCTCAGAACGGCTATTTCTTTCCTTTTGTTTTGTCTGAAGACAAAAAGAAACCACACGAACCAGACGTTTGAAATGTCAAGGCTTATAACGTGTGCTGTGTTCCCTTTTCAGTAGGCGTTTTTTTACAATCTCGTTTTATCTACACAACCTCTCATTTGGAGCGTGAATTACGTATAATCAGAAACTTGACGCAGACCTTTGAATGCAAATTTGAACTGATTTGACTTTGTTTTTTGCTTGCTTTTTGTTTTTATCCACACAAATAATCGACATCTCAAAACTGAAAGCTTGTTCACGTATCAAAATATATCTAATGCAACACAAATCTATCAATTATGTCAAGGTCTCAACATAAAATCATATCATATTCTATTTAGGATGAAAAGTCCACAGATATCAAGAAATATGATGTAGCTTATTCTGACAGGGAAAGAAATACTCATCAACATCAACAATATAGAATGGTCTTATCAGTGTTAAACACCCCCCTCACACACACACACACACACA